GTGCAACGTCTATGTCTGAGCATTAAATGGTGACCTATGCTGCAATAAGGTTTTGTATAGTGAAAGTCTTGTGCAAGCAACTTTCATACCACAGAGAGGCACACGCGCCACTTTTGTTCAAGAAGTCGGACTGTGAACGTTTCAGAGAGGTTGGCTTGTGAAGATTTGAGAGAGAGGTTGGATTGTGAAGATTTGAGAGAAAGGTTGGATTGTGAAGATTTGAGAGAGAGGTTGGATTGTGAAGATTTGAGAGAGAGGTTGGCTTGTAAAGATTTGAGAGAGAGGTTGGCTTGTAAAGATTTGAGAGAGAGGTTGGCTTGTAAAGATTTGAGAAAAGTCGGGTTGTGAACGTTTGACTGAGTTTGGGTTGTGAGAGTTTGAGAGAAGTCAGGTTGTGGACATTTGAAAAGAGTTGGATTGTGAATCATCGAGTGGCTGGATGTTCATTTTGGAGAATTATTGTGCAAATTGGATGTGATATATCAGTGGCGCTTCAGTAATACTAACAGTGTTAAATATATATTATCTGAAACTTAAAATGATAATTTATAGAGCTAGTATTATATTTAAGGTTCATCGGAAATTTTTTACATCGATTCCAGCGAAAGGCGATATATAACGGTGGAGTAATGACCTGAATCCTTTTCTTCTCCCTAAGCTATGGGTAAATAGCAGGAGAGACAGGATGGTAACCGGCCTGGAGACGGTTGGGCTCCTTCAGTCACTCTTCCTCAAGAAACACCATTTCTACTGCGACTGAAGTACATGTGGTGCCCCTACAATCCTGATGGTTCACGGAATTTGCGTTCGATCGATATTATATATATATATAATAAATCCGAGTATGTAATACCGACAGAGTTATAAGTTATTGACATTTGGAAAAACGTTCATGAAAGTATTTTCGAAGATAATATCCGTGAATGCTTTTCCCCTATATGGCTTCATCATATGGATAACGAAAAATGTGTTCTGTGTGCATGTATTTTCGAAACATACATTCATTTCCAAATGTCAATAACTTGTAACTCTGTCGGGATTACATACCCAAATTTATTACATACTTTCGACATGGGGAACTCATGGATAAAAACAATTCTTTCATCTATTTTCTAACCATTCTGAAAGATTTTTCATCTCAAAATTCGGACACTTAAAGCGGAGGATATAAAATGTTAAACGACTTTTTAAAAAAAGTTACTCATTTTTTTCTCTGATTGTAGTTTCGAGCAACGCCAGCTTGTGAAAAATAATATAATATATAATTATTCTAAACACAAACAAATAAATACAAACACAACACATTTTTCGTTATCCATCTGATGAAGCCATATAGGCGAAATGCATTATCGGATATTATTTTCGAAACGTACTTTCATGAACGTTTTTCCAATGGTCAATATATATATATATATATATATATATATATATATATATATCTTATTACAGTAAAAGTTACATATAATGGGTACACGTGCTTGAGTAGAGTTCCCCCGTTTTTTTTTAATATTGAAATTAATGTCTTCCGGCCTAACGATAGAATATTCTGTTAAAGAAAATCTGCCTATTGGTACAATGGATAGGAACTGTGCCTGTATTTTCTTCTTTAATCTGGGAAACAGATTTTAAGACAAGTGTGCTTTCCCGCCTCGCCATCAATTGGATTTATTTTGGTTCAAATATTTAAAATCTATTGTTTTTTCAACAAAACCTTGCACTTTAGACTGTTGACCAGGATACATATTATCAAAGGCTGGCGTAGTCTTGCGCATCAGTCGAATTCATTTTCGCCTTTTACTGAAAATGGGGAGGTACTAGAAGTTTTTGAAGTGTCAGATAGAGAATAATTTGAGTCCATAGTATAAGACTGAGGATTGACGTCTCTGGAGACGCTTGTCTCTTTTTTTTATTAAATTTTAATTTTTTCAAATTCCAGGCAGAAGTTAACAGACGCAACGCACAAACGGTGGTAGTCAGTCACAGGCTTTTATTTTTTGCATCCTGCAATAATTAATATATTTTCTGTGATCTATTTGGGTTGCTATTTTTTTTTATCCCCTTCTTTCGTCGCTGAGATCTGACCCGGTAAAATGGAAAGTATAAAAAAGTAGTTAGGGCCATGTGTGCATATCGTTGTTCCAGTTGCTTGTTTTTATTGTTGTTATTGCTGCGAGTGGTGGTTGGTTATGGCATGGGTGGGTGGGGGTAGGTTTGTAATTATTGAAACATTTGCCCCGGAGTGACATTCTCAGCAGAAATAAATTGCAAAGAAAAGATGACGCGCTGAGATCACGTGGACAAGGGCGGCTGTTGTAGAGCAAACATTCCCCAAAACTTCCTGACGGCAACATTCTTTAAGTGGACGCAAAAGAATGGCTTCCAAGGTCTTTCTTCTTTCTTTACAGTCGTTTTATTCTTGATTTATTTTCTTTCTTTTTACTCGTTTTTTTTCTCTTTTCTTTCTTATCCTTATTTTTCCCTTTTTCTTTCTCTTTTCTAGCTTTTCCTGTTTGCTTGCTTGTTTTACTCCATCTTTAATTTCTCTTTCTCCCGTTTTTTTTTAAATTCTTTTTTTCTATTCTTTCTTTTAATTGTTCATTTCTTTCTTTTTGTTGTTCATTTGTTTCTTGCGTCATTTGTCCCTTCATTTCTTTCTTTTGTTCCTTTCTTCATTTCTTTCTTTTGTCCCTTCATTTCTTTCTTTTGTTTCTTTCTTCATTTCTTTCTTTTTTTTTTTTCTCCATTTCTTTTCTTTCTTTTGTTTCTTTCTTCATTTCTTTCTTTTGTCCCTTCATTTCTTTCTTTTGTTTCTTTCTTCATTTCTTTCTTTTTTTTCTTTCTCCATTTCTTTCTTTCTTTTGTTCTTTTCTTACTTTTGTCCCTTCATTTCTTTCTTTCTTTTGTTCTTTTCTTTCTTTTGTCCCTTCATTTCTTTCTTTTGTTCCTTTCTTCATTTCTTTCTTTCTTTTGTTCTTTTCTTTCTTTTTTCCCTTCATTTCTTTCTTTTGTTCCTTTCTTCATTTCTTTCTTTTTGTTCTTTTCTTTCTTTTGTCCCTTCATTTCTTTCTTTTGTTCCTTTCTTTCTTTCTTTTGTATCTTCATTTCTTTCTTTTGTTCCTTTCTTTCTTTCTTTCTTTCTTTTGTACCTTCATTTCTTTCTTTTGTTTGTTTAATTCTTTCTTTTGTTCTTCATTTCTTTCTTTTGTTTCTTTCTTTCTTTCGTTCATTTCTCTCTTTCTTTCGTTCGTTTCTGTATTTCGTCCATTCATTTCTTCCTTTCTATATTTTTAACTTATCCATCTTTATCTTTCTCACTTACTTTATTATCTTTTAATTATTCAACCATTTTTTTAGTTCTTTCTTTTTAAAATGTTTAATAAAAAATAAAACGAACAGATTTACATATTCAGCAAATTTGCTGAAATTGCAAAAAAAAAAAAATAATGCTTTTTGTTTGTTTAGATTGTGGCACATGCGCAGAAATTCCCACTACCTCACGAATATTGTAACAGACACATAGCCCCATTTTAATTGGTACAAACCTAATATACCCATACCCATATACAGTTCTGACCAAACACAATACACACACTACATCGATGTAAAAGTAATACATAAAATCGTGTAAATCAATCAGTTTTATTTGATTACAAGAATGATGATGTCTTTTCGCATCCCCGCTGAGCAAACAGTGTTTTCTGCGAGGTTGGATCGTAAACATATGGAAAAACGCACTAGACACTCAAATGAGTATTTAACAGAGAAATATAGCTGACGAGATGATCTCGCAAGCTACTGTTAGTGCGGCGGGTTCGAGTCATGTTAGATGTCTAACAAATGCGAACCTGTCTTGAGCTAAACACATGCCCTACACAAACATACACACTATATGATTAATACAAATAAAATTAGCTGACTGACAGTATTAACAACATTTACCGGCCTGAATGTCTGAGAAGTTTCATAAAAAATATATGTCCTCCGGCAGGAATCGAACCTGTATCCTACCTATAGTCTGACGTGCTATACCATTTAGCTACTGAGGAAGTGTCTGGTTAGCAAATTCAGATTACTGTTTTTAAATTACAAATTTTCCATGATTTCTCTTGAACGCTCATATCTGCTCAAAGCGTATGTTAACGTAAACAAATGACGTTACACACTACGAAATGGACTAAGTGCGACAATTATTTTAATATATTTTCTGTTTATAACCAGTCGCTTCCTTTTTTAGCAAAATGATATTGCACGTTAGGCTATATGACGGTTCCGTGTAAGATATAGGTTGGATTCCTGTCGGAGGACACATATTTTCTATGAAATTTCTCGATACATAGAACCATTTTTCGAGACATGAAAGCAGACAGGGACAGTTTCAGATCTTCAATGGCGGAAGTTCCTTTCTCAGCCTTCTTCAAATACACTGCCTCCAAAACCGCTGCCCTCGTATCAGAATAGGCCCTTACTGGGATGGAGAGTTTTATACACCAGAAAAAATTTCCAGCAGAAATCGAACAGCCAGTCGTAGTTCACCCCCGAATGTGCTTCCCCCATATCTCATCGTAACCACTACTAGAATACCTATCACAGGGAGCGGCGTAGTAAGACACTTGCTGCATTTGGAACTGCCCGAAAACCGCTACAAGAGAGTTCTAGAAAATGCAAAGTGTAGTTATGCCTGAGCAGTCCATTTCAAGACTGAAAGCAAAGAAATGGAATCCCGGAAGTTCTGGAAGTTCTCTAACCAAATTCTAAACCGAGGCAAAGCATCAGTGCCTTCTATTATAAATGACCCCGAGACTATATCATCCTTGTCAGATAAGGCGAAGCTCTTCGTCTTGAATTGCTTAGAATTCAACATTAGATGACAAAGGCCATCTCCATTCCCGAGCACAACTCAATAATATTTTCATTACAGCTCGGGAAGACGTTGATTATAGCTTCATAGAGTTTGCTAATGACACTGAGGAAACTGATGGATCTATACTGTGAGAGGGATGAGCACTCACCCATATTTTTGAAAACTGGACACACACTTGACACCGTCCACAGACTTGGGAAGGATTTCTTCTTCAATCAGCGGTTAAATAATTTCGCTATCATCGGGAATAACTCCGTGTTAATACTGTTAAGGACCATTGTGATTTTGCCTGGACTTCTTAGGGTCAAGACTTTTCATAAATCTTGAGACTGTGTGCGTGTGTATTTATACGTATGTCTGTATGAGTGAAATCGAGAGAGCTTGGAGAGGGAAGGTGATAAACAATGAGAACTTGAAATAGAATTGGATGAAAACACATTTCAAATGTATAATAGTCAAAGTTGTAATGGAACAATTTTGATGATAAATAAAGAGACAGTTGAAATTTCTAGAACATATAACGAGAAAAGATGGCTTAGAAAATTCGACACTCAAAGGACATACAGAAAACAAAAAGGGACAAAGAGAAAAACCTAGTAAGCTACCTTAAAGGTTTGTATAAGTCGATTTCAGAAAAGAAACTGGGAAGGAAGACGTAAAGATAAAACTTACTAAGAGCTACAAAGGTTAGGAAGTTGTGGAGAGCCATGATTACCTACATTCTGAAGAGACATAGCACATAGAAGAAGAAAATGCAGACGGCGTCAAAATCATGTTTCTTTATTTTTAGATATATTTTTTACTAATATTTCTAAATTGAATTTAAATTTGCTTCTGCCTGAAGAGGAAGGAAGAAACTTAGGTATTTTCCGTGCCACATTTCTGGGCCCCTGAGCGACGTCACTGCTAATACATATAGAATAACTGATAGCCATCTCTTCAATTACTTGTACCGGTCACATCGTTTCTATTACGCGACATGGAATCATTAAAAGTTGAAGATTTTACAAGTACTACATCAGCATGCGCACAAACACCTACACTCAGGCACACAGACACACATCAACAGGCATAAACAGAAACTTACATATGCAGAGACATGTGCACATACCGACAGACAAATACATGCACACGTATACACATCTGGGTGGTTAACATCGTGGGAAAGAGAATCGGAGGTCTAAGCTCAAATACCATCTGAGGTAATGCGGTTTCAGATCAATTGAGAAAAGCCAGGAATTGACTTCTCTCAATAGGTCAGAAAAGAAATTACGCCTTGCCCAGTGGAACTAGCGCAATTTACTAAGAGAGGAGATGTGCATTTTTCAAGTAACCGCCGCCAATGCCATGAGAAATGACATGATGGTCTGAGCATGATACCAAAACGATCTATCATTTATTGGATTAGTTTATTAAAATATGCAATTTTAAAAAATTATATATATATATGTGTGTGAAAAGTGTGTATATATATATATATATATATATATATATATATATATATATATATATATATGTGTGTGTGTGTGTGTGTGTAATATATTATATATATTATATGCACAGTACTTATTAGAAAGCGTTCAATATCAGAGCGTGAAACGCAGGGTCACAAACTCACATCAATTCGAATATATATATATATATATATATATATATATATATATATAATACCAAATGGTAAGTGTTAAGGATAATTCAAGGAGGACATTACTCCAAAGAAAGCCCAATGGAAGAATAGAGCATTATAATAGTAATAAGATATTCCTTAAAAATTCATTTCAGTTATAATTTATTTGATGAATATATTTAAATATTCATCTCTTCAGGCCGAGAGATTTTTTTTAGAAATGAAACCAATTTGTTCAGACAAAAAGAAGGAGAGGAAAAAAGAAAGAAAAATGAATTTTTTTTTATAATAAAAGAGGAAGAAAGAAAAGTAAAAATTTTAATATAAAATTAAAAAAAATAGGAAAGAGAGAGAGAGAAAAAGTGGGGAAAGAAAGATAGTGGGTGGGAGAGGGAAAGAAAAGAAAAATTAAAAGATGAGGCGATAGTTTGACCTATATATCAAATATGTGATGCAGTTAAATTTCTAGTACATGAATCATTCATACAAAAAGTAGATTAGTAAAGTTAATGATATAAAATGGCGAAAACTTCTTCGCAAAAAAATCATGTAATATAAATTGAACTGCACCATATATTTGATTTAAAAGAAATGATCCGACGTGCAAATTTTCGGGTTAACAGCTGAGACATTACTATATTTATTAAACAATTTAGTTCAATTTTTTCAGTCAATATGCCACATTAGCTGAAAAACTCCTACAACAAAACATTCTCAAATTATCATATTAGTAAAAAATTGCACTCTCATAAACTTTCAAAAAAAATTCTACCTTGAACGCTCCAATAGTTTTTATCCGTTAACAATAACACATTTCTAAAAAAAAAAAAAAAAAAAAACTTATTTCGATTCGCATTTAATCTTTTGTTGTCAGCTACAACCTGGATTTACTAAAAGCAAAATAATTTCCATGCCTGAGGATGGCTGTATGTACAGCTGAAAGTACTAGTAGATTAAAAAAAGACCTTATACAAACTTGTAGTTATTAAAAACAGGGACCATAACATTCATCGAGTGATTCGTAGGTTAATGCAACTTTAAAAATTTTGTTTGCGAAGTTTTCGCCATTTTATATTATTAACTTTACTAATCTACTTTTTGTATGAATGATATATATATATATATATATATATATATATATATATATATATATATATATAGGCCCTCTATATTCCCCAACCAACACACAACATAATTTATAATATACGAATATAGCAACAACATATTAAAGTGCATATAACATTTAATGCCATTTTACATTTCTAACAATTTCCGGTCAGCTCCCTTATACTGCTAACGATTGTTTTGCAAAAACATTCCATAGCTACAACGGATAAATTGGAAATTCTAAAAAACTATAACGGAGCGTGTTTTTTAAAAATCGCAATCACAACGCAATGCAGATGTCATTGCAGTTACAATTAGTTTGTCTTTGTAATTTATCCCTGAAGATGATCTTGGAAAACATCGAAAGTACATGAGTTAACAAAAACAAAAACAAACTACGGCGCCTTCCTTGATGAATTTCATCTCAACATCAAGAAACTGATTCGACAACTTTAAAGGATCAGTATAAAAGTAAGTAGACACAATATTTGTATATTATTCAATGAAACATGTTTGAATGAAGATATGATATATATTTATATATATATAACTTTAACCTATTAATTGTATTAACGATATATCTCTCCCTTTTGATATCGAGCATTTTGTGACAAAAAAACTATCCGCCTAAAATGCCCTCCCATATATAGTTTTCTCATTTTCTCCGTCTCTTTTTTATCTCATTTTACGGTGGGCAACCAACACATTTGACGTATTGTTTTGTAAAATATCCCAAATA